CTGTTTTTATTAAATAATTTTTTTATTATTATTTCGGGTCGGGTCGGATTTCTAATTCATATATTTGGGTCGGGTCAGATGAAATTTTATTTTGTTCGGGTCGGGTTTTTTAAGTGTGATATTCGGGTCGGGTCGATCGTGTTTTTTTAAGTGTGGTATTCGGGTCGGGTTTAGGGTGAAAAAAACCGGACCGACCCGAAAAAAATATATAATTTTACCTTATATAGTCGTGTGGGGTCGAGTTTCTAATTCATATATTGAATAAAAATAGTTTTTGGTATATTTTTTTGTAACTAATTAACATACTCCGATTGAAATATATCAAAATAATGCTCTATCTTTTGGTAACTTATTAACATATTTTGATTGCGATGATTTTAACTTATAATGTTTATTAGCATGATTTTTATAATTTATTGAAATGAATAATCAATCAATAAAATGAAATTTTAATATTTTTTAATTTTTTATAATATATTACTACATGTAAGTTGTAAAATAAACTAAAATAAAGTAAAAAAACAAGAAGGGCAATTCTGTCATTTTACATTACTGAAATCAAATTCATCTGACATGTCTGAGAACCAAACAGAATATGAAATTGGATTCCAATTCCATTTCTTGCCAACCAAACAGAATATGGAATTGGATTCCAATTCCCTCATAAACATTCCAGCGAATCAAACGTCACCTTAGTTTTCTCAGAATCTACTCAGCAACCACCAACAAATGAACTTGACTTCAAAATAAAACACAGAAATGATATTTACTTGAAAATCAAAATTATACATAGAAATCATATTTACACGAAAATCGTATAGCATCCCATAAGTGTATGGACATACCTTGCCTCAGCAAGCCTCTCCGGAGAAGTATGACGAGCATGGTGATAGTATCTAGCTCCAAAGAAATCGATCTTGAGACGTGATGAGATACAGACCGAATCGAAATCGAGAAACTAGAAACGAGAGCATTTTGGGATTTACAGTCTGCCTTGATTTACAAGAAAACTGTCAACATATATGAAACAAAATCAGCCATCATAATTGAGAACTAACAACATTTATTTAGTCCTTTGAATCTTATCAAATATTCTATTAACTTGATCTTAATTTTAATTCTATATAAAAAAATTTAATCTTCTAATCAAGTGGTGACACATGCCACTGAAAACAACTGTCACCTCATTGAAGGATTCTTTATCTATCGTTTGCCCTAATTTTTCTTAAGAGTCCAGCAAAAAAAATTTTGTATGATGATTCATTGCTGCTTCATACCATAAAAGTTCACATGAACCCCTAAACCTATTAATATAATTATTATAACTAAAAAATTATCTTCTAGATTATCGTCTGATCATGTTATCTTTAAACATCACTGATTATTAATATATATATAGATCAAAATATCGTTTGAATTGCACATTAATTTTAACTCTCCATCTTCCGTGCTCCCTTGACCTTAATTTGTCACATTCTCTTCAGTTTTCCTTTTTTGCAAGTTACAAAAGATGTCGGGATTAGGGATTTAAAATCCCTGCAGAGGATTCTTAAATCCTAAATGAATAACCACAAATTTTAATTTATGTTGAAGTTTAAATTGTAAGGTTCCTACATGGTGCAAAATAATAATAAAATATATTATGTTATCAGACAGTGTTGAAAAAAATTGTATAATAATTTAGAAAATAATATATAAATTTTAATTATTAAATTAAAAAATAAAATTACAGAGACGAGGACAAAATTGTATTACCCTTATTTCCACGGGAGTTGCAAAACAAATCGAAACAAAACAACGATCTTCATATCTTTCGGCCCAACCATAACAGCGAGCTTCAAAGGCTAAAAAGTAGGCAAATTTGGTCCATTAGGTTAGGCGGAATAATAAATTATCCCATTAAGCGAACCCGAAATTTATTTCGTGATCCACGAAAAATTCTACAGTGCATGAAAAATTCATTCTATCAGCGTGACGAGTTTGTTCAATTAATATTTTTAAATGAATCCATATAAGTGGGTCTTATAAGTTCTAATATTTTAATATTTTTTTAAGAACTCATCATGTCGACGTGACGAGTTCTTATAAAATATTTAAAATTAATTAACCGTTTAGAGCTATTGGGCAACGATCATGTTTTCAAATTTTTAAAAAATATAGACGTTGAAACTCGTCAAGTCGATATGATGAGTTCATTGATTTTTTTTAAATATTTTCAAAATAATTTATTACAAATTAATTTATTGCAAATTAATAATAATTTTTTAAACAAATACAACCACTAAAAAAATGCTTATATTTCCTTAATTCTTGACGATGTTGAGAAATGGTTGAATAATGATAGCGTAGAGCTTGTCGATTTCTTCATGGTGTCCGTCTTGATCGACTTCATCTTCGTTTTCTTCTCCTTCTTCAATAAGAGGTGTATTGGACATCAATATATTTTAATTTCCAGCTTCGAGTGACAATGATAGAGTATTTAAGGTATTTGATGTCATCATCGACTCAAATCGGCCACCAAAGTCAATACTTCGTTGACCATACAAAATATGATCTCATTCATCTATAGGTTATGTCGAAGATGGTTGAGTGCGTTGCACTGCATCCCATGTACTTTCAACCCAATTCATTGGACTCTCCATTGAAGCATGATATGGAGGATAAAAATCATAACTAGTTTGAGATGTAAAATATTCCGCAGAAGCAGAACCATATGAAAAAGATGTTGATGATGACGTTTTCTTGATCTTTGCGTATTTTACCTTCATTTCTTTCCATTTAGCCCTATGATCTCCCAGTGTTGTTAAATATGATTTTCCATTTGCTTCATAATTTCAAAGGTAGGGAGATATTTCGAAATCAAGATCAACCGTTGTAATCTCGAAACGCATAGGCACAAATAGATGCCACTCATTCCATTGTTAAATATATACAACATGTTTCCTCGGTCAATTTTCTCTATGTTTCCCACGTGTATCAATTCTATTGAGCTCATCCATCTCAAATATTTACATAGGAATCGGCTGAATGGACGCAAACTGAAGCAACACTCTATCTGCGACATGCATATCAATAATCGCTAAATGAAACAAAAACGTTATGACACACCACACCTCTGAACCTTCAAAAAATGATTCTAGTAGTAACCCGTCTATCTTCGGCTCACAATACGAAATCCAACAAAACTATAAACATTATTATATTATAAAAATTAGTAAAATTATAAATAAATAAACTTTTAAAAAATACTAAAATAAATATTTACATCATGTCGATCGACGATATCGATCCTCGTTCGTAGATCAGTTTTTATTGCACCTGAAAAATTTGTCTCGATAATTTTATGTCGTCGTCTAAACAATATAATAAATAAAAATTAAAAATAAGAATAGAAATAAATTTAAAATTTTAGTAAAAATTAAAGTTAAAAAAATTACATTCCAGCTAGAGGAAACTCAACGGAGGCTGATGTAATTGACATAAAAAAATGGAAACCGATACCACGTCCAAGACTGTAACAAAACTAAACAACCATCTACATCAGCTTTTGATCCCTTTCAACAATTGTAGCCTTGCAAAGTTCATGGTATAAAAATATCAAAATGATTGAACCCCAACTAATGTTACAACACTCAGTGAAATTATTCAATATCGAAAGATACTAAGTGTGCCCCAAATTTCCAAATTTATCTGGTAACAATATCCCTCCAATCAATTGGTGAAGATACAATTAGACTGCAAATTTGACCTTATCCTTGATAGAGTCTTCATCCACTTGAAATTCGGACTCCAACCAAGTCATCTGCATCTGCATCCCGTCTACGACTTCTGGTGGTGACCTCTTTCCCAAAACTTCCTCAACAATATCGAATTGATTGTAAGTGTTGTCCCTCACCAATGTCGCACCATTTATCTAAACATCGAGTTGGTAAGCGACGTCTTCTAATGTAATCGTCGCTTCACCACTCGAAAATGAAAAGTATGTGTTTTGAACCTCCAACGTCCAATCAACACCGAAATTAATGCATAGTTCACTTTAAAACCACAAAGAAATATGGTTAGATACAACCCTAATTATTTTAGATATATAATAATCCACTGATGTGGATCTTTAAGTGTCATTCCTCGCTGACGAATACCCGTTCATCATCCTACAATATCAATTTCAACCAATCAATCAAAATTTTAAAACAATAAAATTAATAATTTGAACAATTAAACATATAAGAAATTTTTTTACCGAAGTGAGTTCAAGCGTGGAAATATGGACAAATTCAAGATGTAACATTTCATCTTGGGTAGACATTTTAACATAAATTCTTAAAAACTATTTTTTTCTCAATTTATTTTATTTCTTAACAATTCACAATAAAACCTTAAACCCTAAATCCTATATATAACCCTTAACCCAACCACTATAAACGACCATATTTTTTTTTAAATCCCACTAAACTCGTCACCTTGACATGTCTAATTCCAAAGTGATCGTTATTTCTGACTGTTGTTTATGCTCATTGCCCAACAACTAGTTAATTTTAAATTCTATTGGAACTCATTATGTCAACATGACGAGTTTCTTTATTTTTTAATTTTTAATTATTATAAATTATAAATTAATTATTTAATTTTAAAAAAATATTATTTTAGGCCAGATAGTCAATTAAAATATTAGATCCAATGGGGCCCATTCACCGGGTCTATTTAAAAATATTATTTATACAAACTCATCACGCCATCAGAACGAGTTTACCCTACATTATAATATTTGTCATAAACCTCAATAAATTTCAGGTTCGCCTAATGGGCCAATTTATTATCGCGCCCGGCCTAATTGCCAATTTTACCTAAAAAGTCAGTCTTTAGGGCTTTGTATTATAGCCCAATTAGACGAAATAATGTTCTGATTTATCTTTTCAAAAATGATGGATCGATCAAATCATTTGGCATTTTGACAAAAAAAAAACCAAAAAATAAAAAAAGATGGGTTTATAATTATGAATTTCTTGTCGAGTGAAAGAGGGATGTTCAAAGAAGGGCGCCATCTTTACTGTTGTCATTAGCACTTCAATTCAATACAAAAATGAGTTCCAAAGAGAGTTGCAGAACCGAGCTCCGCACTGCCATTCGCCAACTCAGCGACCGTTGCCTTTACTCTGCTTCCAAATGGTAACCCTTCACAAAAACCCTAAACCCTAATCTCTCTTTTCTTTTTCCAGATTCTCTTTTGAGGAAGAAATATTGAGTATTTGACTCCCTTTGAACGAACCCATTTCTCCGAATGCATTTCTAAATATAGTCTTTACAAGTTGTTAGCATATCTATAGAACACTCGGGAAGCATTTTACTTGGCTTCTTGAAGTAGAACTGAGCTTTTCCGTTGGGAGTGGATTGACTTAATCTGGGTTGCAAATTAATGTGCCTTTTCTATGATGGCGTTATGCTTTTTTATGCTCCATTTTCTCACTGAGATGCAATCTCTCAACTGGAATTTTATGATGTTTGATTCCTTATATGTGTGTGTGTGTTTGTGTGTGTCAGTTATGTATGGAATCTCTTGTTGATGTCCTTTAGCAAAATCATCTTGGGTTGGTTTTGATGTACAGGGCAGCAGAACAGCTCATCGGAATCGAGCAAGACCAAGCAAAGTTCACACCTTCAAACACAAGATTTCAGCGAGGAAGCTCAAGTATACGCAGAAGGTTCTGCACCAATGAGATCACTTCGACTCCTCCGACTGATGTTGCCTATGTGTCCACTCCAGTGATGGAGGAAGATGATGCAATACATGGTGACTTCTACCTTCTAGCAAAGTCGTACTTTGATTGCCGAGAATACAGGAGAGCTGCTCATGTGCTTCGCAATCAAACTGGAAAGAAGTCTGTGTTCTTAAGGTGTTATGCTCTTTATCTGGTTTGTTCCCTTCTCATTTCATTATCTTATAGTATTTTAAATGCCTTGTTATTTTCAAGCTCTGTGGTCTTGATTGTGTAAAATTTGTCTTTGACATCACAGCTAGTTCATATATGATTTTTTTGTCCATAAGCTTTAGTTGACTACCAATTTCTTGAGAATTTTTTTTTAAAAACACTGGCTTTTTTGAATGAGAGCTTCATTTGTACTTCTATCGCCTATTATAAGAACATCATAAATAATGTGGAAGCTTGTGAAGGAGAATATTCTGTGGTGTTTAATTTTTCTTCTTCAATGAAGAAGGTTAGCTTTGCTTCAAATTATGAAATTGAGGAGATGCAAATAGTTTATTTGGACATTTATGCTACACTTTTCCCCTTTTTATTGTGTTTAATTTGAAGATATTGTGACTAGGTTGAGGTAGGAAATAACATTCATCATGTGGAAGTATATCTTTTCCCACCCAAATAAATTGAACTTCTTCCGTAATACCATTTCATATATATATATATATATTTATGCTTTCCATTTTGTGTTCTTATTTTTTGTTATCATTTCACTTCCATTCATTTATCGAAATGTTAAATACATGCATGGATGAACAATGAAGGCCGGAGAAAAGCGGAAAGAAGAAGAAATGATAGAACTTGATGGTCCATTAGGTAAGAGTGATGCTATTAATCGCGAATTGGTTTCTCTAGAGAGGGAGCTATCAACTCTTTGCAAGAATAACATGATAGATCCTTTTGGGTTGTATTTGTATGGTCTTGTACTTAAAGAAAAAGGCAACGAAAATCTTGCTTGCAAAATTCTTGTGGAATCTGTAAACAGTTACCCTTGGAATTGGAGTGCCTGGTCAGAGTTGCAATCCTTATGCACTACACTCGACATCTTAAACGGCCTCAATCTCAGTAATCACTGGATGAAGGAGTTTTTTCTTGCTAGTGTTTACCAAGAGCTCAGGATGCATAATGAGTCGTTATCAAAATATGAAAATTTACAGGGTACGTTTACATTTAGTAATTACATACAGGCTCAAATTGCAAAAGCCCAGTATAGTATAAGGGAATTTGATCAAGTTGAAGTGATATTTGAAGACCTCTTAAGGAATGACCCATATCGAGTAGAGGACATGGATACATATTCTAATGTGCTCTACACAAAGGAGTATTTCTCTGCCTTGAGCTACCTTGCACACAGGGTCATTATGACCGATAAATATCGTCCTGAGTCTTGCTGCATTATTGGAAATTACTACAGTTTAAAAGGGCAGCACGAGAAGTCAGTCATGTATTTTAGGAGGGCGCTCAAATTGAACAAAAAATATTTATCTGCTTGGACTCTAATGGGCCATGAGTATGTCGAGATGAAAAACACTCCTGCTGCAGTTGATGCCTATAGACGAGCTGTGGACATAAATCCTCGGGATTATCGAGCCTGGTATGGGTTGGGACAAGCATATGAGATGATGGGCATGCCACATTACGCTTTACATTATTTCCAGAAATCTGTTTTCTTTCAGCCAATTGATTCTCGGTTATGGATTGCCATGGCTCAATGCTATGAATCTGAACAGCTGCACATGCTTGAGGAGGCCATCAAATGTTACAAAAGGGCTGCTAACTGTAATGACACAGAAGCAATTGCCCTGCATCGATTAGCAGAGTTACATAGAAAACTTGGTCACCCTGAGGAGGCAGCATTCTATTACAAGAAGGATTTAGAAAGAATGGAGGCTGAAGAGAGAGAAGGACCGAACACAGTTGAAGCACTGACGTTTCTTGCCACACACTACAAAACACAGAAGAGATTTGAAGAAGCGGAAGTGTATTGTACCCGACTTCTGGATTATACTGGCCCGGTGAGTTTCATCCTTATTCTGTCAGCTCATCATAGAAAATTATCAAGATCTTTTAACCAACTTTAGTTTTTTATTTTTCGCTATTTTGATTATAGGAGAGAGAAACAGCAAAGAGTTTACTTCGAGGAATGAGAATAGCACAATCCGGTTTTCCTTCCATGGATGTCGAGCATTTTCATCCATGATTTTTCTCATTCATACCTCCCTCTCCCTTTGGATTTGGGAAACCAGAGTCCAATGAAACCTTGGTGATTTTTCAATTCTTGTTGGTTCATTCTTGGTCTGTATCAGTCGAAAGGGCCTGATTACATGTTTGTATTACTCGGAAAAGAATCAGCTTATACTTTTTTATTTGTGTTGTGACATAACAACTTGAAACGTCAAACATGTAGTTCCTAGTTAGAAGCCTGTATAACTTAGTAGATTACAAATGTAATCAGGCCTATTGAAGTTCACCTCATCGGATTTTTTGAACTAGGAGTCAGTTTCATGCAAAGGCAACCTGGGAGCTTGAACATGCTGCATCTAATTTGCATTCGCTCTGATCTTTGCATTTTAAGATGATATTTTGAGAACATATTGGTAGGATTTTCTTTTTCTCAGGAATGATGCATTTGTTGTCAAAATTCTGTTATTTTTGTTGAGCAAGGAGTAATCTTGCATTTCGAGTAATGTTATTTTGCATCTGTTAGTTGAAAGGATAAGATTGTTTTACTTTTTCTGCTTCATGCTTCTATCATTCTGGTTTTTATATAAACACGATGTGTAACTGTATATATATTGGAATTATTGCAACAAATTGATGAATCATGATACTAGATAAATAACTAGAGGCATGCACAAGACATTGTCGCTCGATGATTTGAACACTTTGCCTCCTTAAATTTCAACTGTTTAGCATGGTTTGCAGGAAGGATAGGAAAGAATTCCTGCCCTTCCATTGGATCCCCCCCCCCACATTTTGAAATCCTATGAAAATAAATTGATATTGAAACTAAGAAACTTGAATGCTTCTACGAATTGACTGTTGGAAGTTTGATGTTGTGAGCTCCGTTTTTTAGTTTTGATATAACAAAAATATTGAAAGTGCATTTGCTTTTTTGGGTAGAAGTGTTCAAATATATTTTCAAACGTTAACGTACTCAACACGTGTTTTCAAAATGATTAAGTTTAATGAGTTTTGGGGCCAATTTATGAGAAAAATATCCATTTAAAAACTAATTATAAGATTAAGTTTCAAAACATATTTAGGAAACTTACTTTTTTTGACAAAACATGTCAAATCCCGGAACATATGGTAAATTTGGATAAATCAGAGTTGACGGTAAGCAGGAATTATCCAGCTAAGTTTATGAAGATGTTCAAGACAATTTTTTTTATAGTCTTAGAATGATTGCAATTAGACATGCACAAAGTCAGATTTAAATTTGATCCGGATCAGATAAAAATCGATCCGATTTTTTCACATAATCAAAAAATCGGTTTATAAAAAAACCGGTTCGGATCTTAACCGGTTTGGAGGGTCGGATGGTGTAACCGGTGTACGGTTTCGGTTTGAAAAAAAAAATCGGATATAAAAAACTGATTTTAATATTATTAAAATTACATCGTCATCAATTGCAACGAAGTTTACGATAATTGAAATACTTAAATACTTCTAAGTTCGATAAATTCAAATACTTAAAAACGTCCAAGTTCGATAATTGAAACAAAGTTTAAGATAATTGAAATAAAGTTTAAAAATAAACTACATCGCCATCTCTTCTTCTTCATCTTTGCCTTCTTCGTTGGGAGGGGATATTCCAAGTTCGACTTCTTCAATGTGTAAGTTTGCTTCCAAATCGGCATCAATTGTATCTTTTAGGGTGTGATATGTTGCTTTCGAGCCGCTCCATCCAAATAAACCTTCAAACAAATGCATACTTCCACCGACTCGGACTTAGTCTTGATCTCCGTTGCGATATAACCCTGCCACTAACAGAAAAAGCGGATTCTGAAGCTACCGTAGAAGCTTGGACGATTAGTAAATCACAGGCTATGGCGGCTAGAATCGAAAATTGTGCTTCTTTTCTTTCCACCAAGCCAAAATATCCAAACTTTCAAACTCTTCAAATGTCATTTTTGATAGAAAATCGCATGACATGTAATTTTCTAACTCGCTACTTGGGGTTGTAGTACGTGATCGTTTGGATTTAGAATTTACAAGAGTGTTAAAAAGTGACAAATTTATGTTACTTGGACGTCTACTAGATGATTCCACATTCGTTCTCATTTGATCATGTATTACACTACTTGATCCGTATTTAGTTAAATAAATTACAAATACGTCTCGAAAACATTTGTTAAAATAATTTATTTGGTTTTGGACAAAGTAGGGTTCATCATCGGTTAGATTAAAATCAAACACAATTTGTTCAATTAGTGTTTCAACCTCGCCAACATTTAACTTTGGGTTTAAAGCGGCGACACAAGTAAAAATGGGGGGAATCACCTTAAAATATTTTAAAAAATTTCCTTCATTGCAAAGCCAATTTCTTGAAAAACTTCGATTTCAAATTCAAAGTCATTTAGTCGGGTAGCCAACAAAAATATTTAATTAAGAATCAACGGGCTAATAGGGTAATAAACACCTGATAAAAAAGTTCTTTTATTTTTAAAAACCCCAAGCAAATCGGTTATTTTGGCTATAGTTTCCCAACTCGAATCCGGATAAATGTTTGGGACATGGCCCCTCTCGAAAAGCCGATCGTGAAATGTTTGCAATGTTTCCCTTTGCCTTAAGGCAGTATGCATCATCATCCAAGTTGAGTTCCAACGAGTTGGACAATCTAAATTAGGACCCAAAACTTTTTTATTATTCGACTTACAAAATCGTTTATAATAATTTAGTCTTTTGTTGTTGTTACAAACGATTTTATCATCGCTTTAAATTCTAATCTAATTGGCTCAATAACCTCCAAACCGGCTTGCACGGATATATGAAAAAACACACCGTCTAAAATCGATGAAAGTAATATTTTCAATCTTTGAACCGCATTTGTATTATTCGATGCATTATCAAAGGATATAGAAAAAACATTATTTTCTAATTTATAAAGACAAATTACCCATTTTAAAAGTGTAAATAAATTAACATCGGTACGCGGCTCACCGAATAATTCAAACGTGATTGTTCTTTTCATCATTTGCCAATTATCTTGATCTAACCAATGTGCCATAACGGCTAAAAAAGAATTTCCGGTATTATGAGGGGAACTCCAAACATCACATGTAAGCGACACATCATAACGGTGTTCTTGGAATCCTAAAATCATTTTTTCCCTCGTCGTACGCCACATTTTTATAGCATCTCTTCTAAGGGTAGTACAACCTACTTGAGTATAATGTGGTTGCATTAGTTGTTGAATTGTTGCCGTGAAATCTTCATCATCAAAGTGGTCGAACGACAATGCTTTTGTAATCACGAACTTTGTAAATGATTCTCGTAATTTTTCGTTGTCGTAAACAAAAACACCACTTTGCGGTGTAAGATTTGATTGACTTGGATCCGATCTTGAGCGAAGTGCCTTGCATGATTTTGTCAAAAGGTTCTTCAACGTTGTGTTTCCTTCCGGTGCAAGCAACTTTAGACAAAGTTTACAACGCGCCCTCCTCGAGCCATTTGACTTCTCACATAAATCGTAGTGATCCCAAATATCTTTGTTTCGAGTGTGTTCGATCACTCTCACGACTTCAAGGTTTCCCCCGACATAAGATTGAGCCGTGTTACTTGTAGCCATGATGAACAAAAAATTACAAAAATAAGATTTGAGAGATGTTTAGGTGTTGTGTAATAAGATTTGAGAAAGTTGTAATCAACCAAATACATCCTCAACCTATTTATACATGTTTAGGGTGGCAAAATGATAATTTTTTAAAGAAAAAAACGGTCACAAAACCCCCCCAACGACTATATTAAAGGCTAGTTTTTTAAACCCATACCGATTTTTTTTCGGATAAAAAACCGGTCGTCCAATTTTTTCCCAAACCGGTTATATTATCCGATTTTAAAAAATTCGATCCGGTTTAAAAAAAAAACCGTTTTTCCCAAATCCAATTTCTGATATTTTTGCACAAAATCGGATATTCGGATTTTTTGTGCACCTCTAATTGCAATATAATATCTATTCAGAATCTTTCTTACCCGTTGATAACGCAAACACATCCACACACAGCTTTTTGAACCCCAAGTAATGCTTTAGGGAGAATATCTCTTCTTTTAACCATTAAAGTCACTTTATGGATTCGACAATTCTAGGAGTGAATGTGGGAATCATAGGACAGGTAAATTCATAGGATTCTTGGTAACCCTTCCAACCAGTAATATTTCTGCTAGTTGAATGTAGGGCTTTAAAAATGCAAGTAACCCTTGCTCAATCACTACATAGAATCATAAATATTTCTATTAAAGCCTTCTGTAAGCCCTGCATGTACAACAAATCAAGGAAAACAGATTTTGAAAGACATCACCATCTACATTGCTTGGTCCAAGAACACTGAAGTTTCTGGGATTGCTTTTTTAGTGGAAGATAAAGGAGGAAGGGTTGCTGGCCAATAGAGCAAATTCATTCAAAACACTGATCCATCTTTGGGCAATCTTTTTGTCCTCAGGGAAGCCCTTCTTTATGCATATCATCAACAGCTAAAGGCAGGCATTTACATGGAAAGAGATAGCAGGCAGAAACTTACTCCATTAGCAACAGATGTGATCAAGCTATTAAAACCAACGATGAGTGGAGTTGGACTTGAATTTTCTGGACTAGGTTCATTATACATTACAACATAGCTATTTGTCAAAGTTATCCCAACAAAACATCCAACGTTACTGAGAAGGAAAATTTATTATCCATCAACTTCCTTACCTGTTATAAATTAACTAGGGAAAGGACGCATTTTGCAATCTCCGAAGAAGCATCAGGCTTTGCAGCTTTCAGAGCTCTCTCAGACATCTCTGCCAGCAATCTCTCATTCCCTGTCACAGTGGGAAGAAATCAGTAAGGTTGTATAAAATCCATGCAGCAAATGTATTTTTCGTCAAGGACAGGGAGTGATGCCATTTCAAACCCAATATGACTTGCCTTAGAATGACTAGAAGGACCAACTCAGATAATCAAATAGAAGAAATTTACTATATAATTTTAGGAAAAGTAAAGGACATCAAACTGGGTGAGAATTTGTTTATTCGACCTAGAAGGTGTATAGGGAATTTAGGAGCGGAAAAATAATAAAACGAAATCAACATAGAAAAGATTACACACGAACAAAACTATCTCTGCAACCTAAATCCAAAAAGTTGCAGAGACCACAAAAAAAATCACATATCCATAATAACTTGCTCTCCCATAATTCCAAAGGCTAGGACATACTATCTATTTATAGCAATGTTATTAAAACCGGACCGGACCGGCCGGTTCGACCGGTTGAACCGTGAACCGGTGGCCTGTCCGGTCCGGTTAACTCCCAAAACCGGACTAGCATAGAACCGTAAAGAACCGGAAGAACCGGCTGAAAATCGGAAAAACCGGGGTGAACCGGCTGAAAACCGGCAAAACCGGTTTGAACCGCCGGTTCACTTTTTTTCTTTAAAAAAAAAATT